ATGTGGGGCACACAAAAAAAAAAAAAAAAAAACAACACCGCCGCTCATGATGTTCACCTGTCGACGGCAAGTGCGTTTCATGAGTTGAAAGGTGACGCGGAGGGATTTGCCAGCCACGGCGGCGGGTGCGCGAGGCAGACGTCCGCGAGCCGCGACCTTTCAGCGGGTCACTGGAAAGCCTGGTGGAAGCGAGGCAAGGTGGTGGGGGCGCTCAGGTTGCAAATGAAGGGAGCCTGGCTTTGAAGCGCAGCCTGCGGGCCCTGGGAAGGCTCGGGGGGCGGGCGGAGATGCGGGCTCTCCGGGGCGAGCGTCTGCTGCCCCTCGCCGCCCCCCGTGTGGTTGCACGGGGGCCCGGGGAGCGGCAAGAAATTGAAAAGCTGAGAGAAGTCCATCAGGGAGGACGACGCGAGCCAGTCGCCGGCCACCGACGTGGCCATTTTGGTCGAGGACCCCTCCTCGCCGGCTTCCTGCAGCGTGCCCGCGTCATCGGCCGTCTCCGGTTTGCCGAGAGGGAGGCGCGGATCTTGCGCCGCCGCGGCGGCGGAGGAGGACGGCAAGCCGCTCTGTAGCTCCAACAGATAGCTCTCCAGCTCTCCCTTGAGATTCTGCTCCCGCTCCTGCGAGCAGACGGCGTATGAGGTCACGTTGGAGCCCGTCGGGTATTTGAAAGAGAGCACCTGCGCGGCGTTGGAGAAAGGCTCCGGGTCCAGGACCAAGTCGCGCGGCGGCGGCGCGTCCGGGAGTTCGGCCTTCATGCCGCCCGACGCCAAGTCATAGACGACGGGCTCCGCTTTGACCCTCAGCAGCTCCTGAGGGTGACTCTTCTTCACGTGCCGCGTCAGGTGGTCCTTGCGACCGAAGCGCTGGGCGCAGTATTGGCAAAGGAAGTCCTTGCGCCCCGTGTGAACCACCATGTGGCGCCGGACGTCCTTGCGGGTGTAAAAGTGGCGCTCGCAATGCTCGCAGGGATGCTTCTTCTCCTTGACGCCGCCGGCGGCGGATTTGCCGGCGTGGCTTTTGAGGTGTTCCAGGAGCGCGGCGGTGCTCGGGAACGGCCGCAGGCACACTTGGCAGGTGAGGTCGCCGCTGTTGGCGGCGTGAAGGGCGAGGTGGCGCTTGAAGCCCAGCTTGGTGTTGTAGCTCTTGCCGCAGTGGCGACAGGCGAAGGCCTCCTTGTGCGGGTCGTGGATGTGGAGGTGATTCTTTAAGTGATCCTTGCGGTGAAACATTTTCTCACAGTACGAACACTTGTGGCTTTTTTCCGGCGAGTGGGTTGCCGTATGCCTTGGGAAAGAGACACCAACCATGAGCACTCAGCGTTCTCGCCGTCACCAGAGTTATCAACTTTCACCTTTTCGCCACCGCGTCACACCGACTGACTCCCGTGGGGGGGGGGCCAAAAAGACGCGGCGGCTTTCTGCCGGGACGCCGTTCGCAAACCAACAGTGACGTGTCGGTTGAGTGACTGAGAAAAGGGGGGTTTTGTTTTTCCTGTCCTTTTTTTGAACACACCTTGGTCATCCTCCCGAAGCTGCGAGGCGCCAGCCGAAAAGACGCCGCCGCCGCGTCGAGCGAACCGCCTGACGGGGAGCCAGAACTCCCGCCGGAATTTACATTTCAACAAAAGGAGACGCGGCAGCCGTTCAGGCGTGCGCTCAACACGAGCATCGCGCAACTTCACCGACTTTGCCGTGGCTCGGCGCGATCGTTCGGACGCCTTTTGTCGAGTTGACGTCAACCGGCAGCCGGGGCCGACGTTTGACTCGAGCGTACTCAAAAGACAAGCCGACCGAAGCCCATTTTCCAGTACGGACGCCCCCCCTGCCACAAATCTGACGATGCCCCCCCCCCCATCCCCCCACCGTTTGGCCAGCTCGATTGCGCTTCCTTCGCCCGTGTCAGGTGTCATTTCGACCGGCGGTGTTCTGCCACCTGAAACATCAGCGGCTGCTGCTCTACATCCCAGCGCGTGGACCCCAAACAGCACCAGAGTGCGCCTTTTGGTCTGGGGTCGGCGCGTGACGGCTCGCCGTCGGCGCCCAAGAACGACCTCTACCGACACGAGGAAAAACGCGACCGCCGGCTGCTTTTCTGTACCTGAACAGCTTGTACTTGGAGACAAAAGCCTTGGCGCAGCCGGGGTGGGAGCAGCGGTAGGGTCTCTCGCCGGTGTGCGAGTAAGAGTGCACCTTCAGCTTCTCCAGACTGTTGAAAGCTTTCTGGCAGTCTTGGCAGGGGAAATTCCTTTTGGGCTTTGCCTCGGCCCTTCTGCGCCTCCCCGCGGCCGGCGCCGGCTTTGCTTTGACCAGGGCGTCTCGGTGGAGGTGGCCCTGGGCTCCGGTGGCCATGGCGCCTCGAAGGCGGAGCGCTCACGGACGCGGATACAGGCGCGCTTCCCAAAGGCGACTACCTTCCATCCACTTTTTCGTCCTCAACCTCGTCCGGCCTCATCGGCCTGAGAGAGAGAGAGAGAGAGAGAGAGAGAGAGAGAGAGAGAGAGAGCGACTTGTGTGACTTCTACAAACATTCGAGTCGTGCTTTGTTCAGAACAAACAAATGAGTGCCAACTTTCCAGCGATTCCAAATGTGCAACAACGCCACTTCCCGTTTCAGTCGTGTTTCTTACATGCGCAGCGATGCGATTTGATCAACGGAATCTGGAGAGGATTCTCAAGCAATCGATGAATCGGGCAGCGCCAAGGCCAGGCGCCTTTGCCAAAGCAGAATCGTTCTTTTGCAGTGCTGGACATTCTTTGCTCGTTTGGGGACGGCCATGCTGTCCCCAGTCGCCACTTTGGAGGTGTCCAAAACCAAAGCGCAAAAAGGCCTCGTGGCGCACGAATGTATGCTCGTTTGCAGTCGGTCCTCGGTGGTGTTTTGCGTCGCACCTTAACTTTAACCGAGTTTCAGACGGGAATGGAGTGAAACGACACGCTCTGGTTAAAAACTTGGCACGCTTCAATACGCAGAGTTAAATTTTCTTTGCGGCAAACAAACGAGGGCAAATCAACAGCTCGAAGCAAGCCCCCTTTTTTTTCTGCGTACAGGCATCTTCTTTGGAGAACTTTGCTAAAGTCCTTTTGCTTCCTTCAAGTGATATTCTCCAAAAGTCTCCCATTCCTTGACTGTGACAGAGTGAAGAGAGACTTGAAAGACTGCGTTTTGACAAGGTGAACGGTGTTTGAAGCATGTCGGGCCCTGTCAAACTATTCCAAAATGGGCTGTCGAGGGATTCTGGTCACCGTCCTGTGAAAACGGAACTAAGACAAGCGTGTAACCACCGATTGTCAAAACGTAGTGCCGCCACTGATTTGCTGGCTGCCTCCCTCGAGTAGACCGCAAAAGAATCACCGCCGACGTACATTTCAGTTGTGTTTCACTTTCAACTACAGTACGTCGCATTTCTTCTTCTTCTTCCAAAAAAAGCACTTTTGAAGCGAAACTTGACAACATTGAGCACTTCTGCTCAAATCATGTTGAATGACAGTATCACTGTCTACTCAACAAGCTTCTGGGGGTGGGGTGGGGTGGGGTGGGGGGGGGGCAAGCGGCAAACAAGCTCACCCTAAACAATCAAGATACAACTTTGAATGGAATGACATAAGGCTAGCCCACGTGCACAGAGTTGCTTGGAGAGTTCAAGAAAACTTGCAAACAAGTTGGCAAGTTGCTTTCGCCGTCATTTGCAACACGACTGAACAAAAACAAACAAACAACGCTTCAACTTGAATTTTGCTGGATGCTGTCAGCGACGAACCCGAACGACCCACGAAGCGCGCACGCCAGTCGGGAAAGCCTTATTCGTTTGGCCAACATATCGGCGAGCTCGATTTCGTCCAAGCGGCGTCTTCTCTCGACTGGCACGGGAGCGACGCCAGTTGCCCGAACTGTCTGTAAATATTGTGACGGCGGTAGAAAATGACACCGAGCCGAGGAAGATGTTTGGAAAGAGCGTTGGCTCCCATCGATGATGATCGATTGACAGGCTCAACCGAAGCCGTAACGTGAACACAAGTCACCGCAGCCACCGGCAAACGCCATAAAATAAGACTTGATTGATTTGGTCATCAACCAATGTGTTCGTTATTATTATCATCCGTTCACGTTGAAGATAGTCAGCGGGCTGCCAACTTTCATCAACTCCTTAACTACTGAACTTTTTAAAAAAAATTTGATATATACAGTACATATAGATAGAGTCATTCGAGTTCATAGAGGTGCGCGGTAACACCGTCTTGGACATCATTTGTGAAAAGGTGTTTTTACCGAAGCCACGCCGGGCTCTTCTCTGTGGTCACGAACCGGGCAGAGAGGAACACAAACTTTTTTTCCCTTCCCCGAGCTCACCCGTCTCTCATAATTTGAATAACCCCGATATTTTAATTCAAGAAATGAGTAACGGTATGCTTAATTGACACGAAACTTACCCCGGGCGCTTCAACATCCCTTTTGCTGTGTTTTTCTTGACTTTCAACTATTTTCCGAATTTTTAATAATTTTTTTCTCATATTTTTGCGAGACGCGGCGGGCCCGAAATTTGTTTGCTTTCCTATCTTTCGAGCAGCCATTGTATGTGCGCTGCAATGCAACCGCACTTGTGTCGAAGTCACGCCCATTTCGGGTTGCACCGCGTCGAAGAAGTCGCTGCCACTTTCACTTGGCTCTCACTTACCGACGTAGAGCGGCGAAAGCCACTTGCGAGACTTCTCCTGGAAGACGTCGGGCGTTGCGCGCGGGTTTCCATTGAAGTTCAAATGTTGGGCGACCGTAGACGCCCGCCCAAGCAACTCGTAGGGTCGTCAGGTTGCCAGCCTGGAAGGACGCCATTCGGGAGATCCGATTGGCCGATTCTGCTGCCAGTCATGTGTTACGGCATTGTTGTTCTTCCGGCTGCATACTGTCGTTCCGTTAGCATGAAGGTAACGCTCGACTGCGGACTCCGGGATGCACTTTGGTAGCTAGATGCTTTCTTGAAGTCGCCCGCTCCCACTTGAAGACACTTCCCCAGATTCTTCACGGATGACTTGGAGCCATTGCCTTTCTTCCCGCAAGACCTCCGCCTCCTGGAAGTAGAGGTCAAAGCCTTTAGCTAGGCTCAAATGAATTCGATTTCGTGTCTGTGTTTACGACAATTGTGATCCTCGATTCACACCGGACATGAACATTTCCCGTGTCAAGCGTCCTGTTCTAGAGACCGACTTATTTGTGTGTAAATCCCAGTTTTAGAAGTAACCAAGTACACTTGCTTGGTGACCGTACTTGGCTCAGTAGTTCTTATTGTTTTCTGACCACTTTCTACTCCACTCCGCGTTTTGGGGGAATAACGAGTGAAAGTTCCCCGTTGAAATGAATTGAAATGCTGTGATCGTTCCAAATAACCACCACAATCCGTGGCGTCCTTTTCCCCCGAATTTTATCTTCCGCGCACTCTCCCCCCTCCCGAAGCAAATGTCTTCAGTCACATCGTCGTCGAGTTGTAAAAAGTCACCATCCCTCCTCTGAACACGTGCGAACCATCTCAATCAGCTCGGTCCAACTTTTGCCCCAAACCGGCTAAGCGTCTGGTGGGCTTTGTACATGTTGTGAATGGACGAAAGGATACTCGACGAGGAAACGACATCAACTCACTGTACTTGCATCACACAACACACACAAAAAGTACTCTTCCCAAACGTGTAACAAAGGTGTTTTTTTTTGGTGCATCTACAGAGATGCAAATGGACAAAAATGCCAGAAAAGTCCGGAATCAAGACATAAATCCTTGCATTGACGTAAGACCCTATCCTGCTTGTTGGATGCGATATATTTCTTTTGAACCGTCTTTGATCACTTTCTCTTTTGCGCGTAGGAAAGTGACGCATCGCAAAAGTGTTTGGATTCTTGCAACTACGACAAGAACATGTGCACGGCCTACTTCCAGAGATACAAGAACTGTCGGAAATATTGGGTAGCTATGGATTTACCTTGACTAAAGTTTACCGAGTCTGTACACAGAATGTGGGGAACAAGAAATGTACGTCGTACGGTAGCTAGGCTGTAATATACGCAATTCGACGGCCATCTGCTGGCACCGGAGCTCCTCCGGCGGCGCGGCCCCAAACGCATCCTCGCGGTTCACGGCAATCGTAGTCAATGACACTTCTGCCACGCCAGAGGCTCCTCTCGTTTACAAACATTATGTGCTCACCAATATATTTGCAAAGTCCAATGGCCAGTATCGCCCTTTTTGATCACTCTTCTTGTCTTTCTACCTCCTCAGCACAACGTCATGCTGCGCAGGAGGCGAGAGGGGGTGACACCTGACATGCCCACTGCGACGGAAAGGCAGGAGATTCTCTCCGCCCTTGGAGGAAAGCCATATTGAGGAGCCATCAAGCGTCTGCAGAGACCCCGGGGGCTTCGGCGGACGTTGGGTTGTTGCTGCAACGCCAAAGAAGTCTTGTGAAGACAAAGAAACCGCGGCAGCAATTTGTTTGAGTTTTGCAAACAACGTCACGGCAGCGTAACACCGACTGGACAGCAAAGCATTTTTACGTTTGCGAAAATGAATGCGCAATTTTTTTTAAACCAACCGCACGGCCCATGTTAAATGTCATCTTCATGTATTTATCCTGTGGCGGGCCATCAGTGACCCCTGGGATGTAGTTTGGACACCTCTGTGCTCGTGTGTTGCAGAATAAAATGTTTGACGAAGCCTAAATCAACACACGACTCTACTTGGCTGTATTCTCCCAAATACACGCACAAAATTCACCTGCAGCACTACAAAGGATGCGTTCGATGTCTCTGAGGACGTTTAGTTCGTCCAAATTGGACTGCTGACCAATGAGCGCTTCCTTTTTGTCTGGTGGGAAGTGTGTGACGTTAGTGTTGGGTACAGAATGACATTTTGATGCAGATTGAAATCAAAGGTAAAAAGGTTCATCTCGGTCAGTTCTCAACTCTTTTATTTCTCAAGCACTGAAAAACAACCACCGCTTGAAATTGGACCAGTTAGAAATCTTTTGAAACAGGATTCATTTCAAATGAAGTATCAAGTACAACTTTATTGTCAAATGTGCTGTACAGCACAGATGACCTCTCAAGATCTGTGCGTACATTCAAAATTCAAGTCATCTTGAATATTCTTCAATGACTTCATTTCATTTCAAATACTGCACCATGAATCAACGGCCAATACCTCGGTCACCAAGTGTTAATTGGCCAACAAAGGTCAACTACTCATTCAAATGACTCAATAAAACAACAGCATAGAGGACGATCATTCCAAACCATTGGAAAATAAAATACCAGAATAACATAAATAAAAGTGCATCCGAACAAATATTGTTAGTGCTTGCGCAGCTTCCAACAATTTGTGTCCCGAGTCCCATTCCGCCAAAAGGGAACTCAGCGAGCGGCTAACAAGTGGCACGCTAAAAGGAACCATCGACTGAGCTCCCCGCCCCCGGTCGAAGCAGGCTAACACAAACGAAACGAGTCTGTGCCGGAGAGGAACCTATCAGTTCAAACAGAATACTTTTAGCAGAGAAAACTCGCATACGGGGAACAGATCGGGCCAAGGCGTCGAGCAGCCAAACTTTCGCCGACTGCGCGGTTCGCGCCGCGATTTGAAGGAAATGACATCAGGCGCACCCCAAACACGTCAGACGTTTGCGATTAGAATTTAAGAGTTATTTATTCCAACATAGAATTTATTTTCGTTGCGCTGTTCGGAATGTGTGTCAAAGAAGTGAATTGGATCGCCTGATGTTGTATTGAAGTGATTTTGTCACTCAAGAAAAAAAAAAAGGTCAGACGCGATACGCCACCGAAATCACGTGACGATCGCACGACTCTGAAAAAAAAACAGAGGGAAACGAAGGCGACAATATATTATCTCAATAATATAAATTATTAAGGCCACTTACCCACATACTACAATAATGTATCATATATTTTCTGTCATAAATATAGAAAAATCACCCAGGTTACGCCGTATTTGCAGCTGCAGCTGATTGACGGTTTTTGGGCCATAAAGTCACGTGTACGCAAAAATGAAAAACATGGATATGCTCCTTTTTGATCAATTCATTGGGCGTTCGGCGCTTTCTTCAACGGAGCGATTCGTAATGCCCTCCTGCACTTTACGCCACTGTATTTATAGCAAGGCATCTTAGTGTGTGTCCTCTTGAGAGATCACAGCGCGCATGCCTTTTTCAAGGTGGATTAAGCCGCTGTAGGAGGATCACAGAATTACCACGGAGCGACACGTTTGCTTTTTTCCTTGTGGACAAAAGAGCCTCAGTACAGCCGAAGGAGGAAGGAAAGGACCATTCCTTTCAAATTTGGAGCGTTGATGGAATGGGACCGACTGAGGACGAGAGAACGCTGCAGGCATGTCATATGGCTTAAGAGTGACAAGTCAGACTGAACTTTGCTTGTTTGGTTATGTGTGCACATGAAGTGTGAGATACACCATGGGAGCGGTGCTAAGCTGGTTTTCGACTCACGTTTACTTCTTGGTGCTGGATACAGCTTGCACATTGATCCACAGAAAAGTAAGTATGCATCTGTCTATCCATCTATATGCACACACACTGTAGGGGTGACTTATTTATTTTTACAACAAACATTTTAGGCTGAACATATTTTTTTCTTATAAAGAAAGTTGGGTAAAGCACTTTCAAGTCTACTTTTTTCCCCAAACTATTTTTCCTTGCTCAAGTGAAAGCAAAAGGTCAATCTAATTGCAAGTGAGTACATTTCTTTTGAAAAGGTTCTCGAGTACTGCAAATGGGGAAATGCGGCACAAGTCTCGAAGTAGGTCTGATTTAATGAAGCCGCACCTTATTTCATATCAACAAACGTGACCGTGTCGAATCATAAACGAGCTATCGATTTCCAACAGCGTACAATACCGAGCGGGCCAATGCAAAACAACCGGCAACGTGTCTGTCGGACACGTTGCTAGGCAACAGCGTTCCACTTCAAGCCTGGAGACGCAACGTCATCTGCCGGATGTCGCGGGTCACCGGCCCCCACGGCGGCGCACCGCAGCAGTGAAAAATCAAGCAGATTTCTCCCGTCTGCTTCCTTCAAAACGTAAAGCGCTCGACGGGGCTTGGCCAGAATAGATGACGTCGTTGACAAACAATCAAAGAGAGACCACACTCACCTCTTCTGGACTTTGCGGCGGCACTTCACCGGAAACACGTCAACTGAAGTCCGTTTCCAAACTAAAGGTTGCCTGGGCAGCTGTTTATACAGTACGTGCCTTCCTCCGTGCTGGCATCGTTGTGGCTACCGGGAAATGCTGGAGAAGAATCTTGGTCCATCCATTTGTCCATCCATCCTTCTTCCGCTCATCTGGGGTCGGGTCGGGCCTCCATCCGGGTCCGACTCCGAGTCCCTCTTGAAAGACGGAGGAGCTTCTCATCCCCGACCTGGACAAGGCACGCCGCACTTGATGAACGATCCAGCGAGATGAACATCAGGGCTTGATGGAGCTGACGCAACCGGCGTTATCTGTGGGGAAAAAAAAAAGACTCATTACTGAGGTTAGGGAACCAGACCTCGGACAGCACTGTCGAGTCTTTTCGTGCTTCCCTTTGGCAGTGCGGAATTGAAAAATCACCGGTAACTGCCATGCTATGGACACAAATGGATTCATGGCTCTGTTGCTCGAGATTGCTTTTTTTGTTGCACTCATGATACGGTGTCGCGAACCTCGCTGATAACTGACAGACTGGCGCTAAATTGGCCATTACTTTCCAAGCCGTAACCTTGGCACTGCCACGCAGCAGTTCGGCACACTGGAGAGTCGGTGTGGAGAAGCAGCACGTCGACTCCGAAGCTTTGTTCAAACGAGAGAGGGTATTTTGGGAGCGATAGAGCGCATATGCCGCATTTCCATGAAAAAAAAGGATTTGAACGGCGTCTATTTTCCATGCCGTTGTTCTCATGTTGCAGGGTGAGCTCGATTGCCGATTTCACAAGCTGTTCACGGTGACGTTCACGTGCATGCTTTTGGGACACGGAAGGAATCCCCGTCAAGTTCCTTCAAATACGCAACCGTCGAGTACATTTCGGCAGGTCGGCGCGGAGTCGAGCGGACGGGTCCTGTAGGGCACTAGCGCACTAATACCGCTTGTGTCTTTTTCCGCCCTCAGCCAAAAGAATGCCTCGAAGGACGCCCTCAACGATGTCAAGGATGTGGAAGAGATGATGCCGGCTTAGTTGACAAAGTCTTCGAAGTGAGCCCGAAAAGAACGACGGGAGGCTACGCTCGGGGACCCCGGAGCGACTCGAGGACGACTCGCACGCATTCGATTTCAGATCTTCGTCAGGAGTCGGATGATTCTCTGGATGCCCTGGTGGGACTCGAGAACGTCCACGAACACTTCTGCCCCCTTCAAAGTAAAAGCAGAAGGCTGAAAGCACTTTCGCTTCAGCACAACAACCGGAGGAAGGTCTTTGCCACGCGCGGGCTCACAAAACGCAAGAACAACTCGGGCCATTCTGCTCCTCCTTTCAAGTTCGGCACCGGAGACTCGTGTTCGATCGATGACCGAGGCTTTCCGAAAGCAGAGAACAAGACCAAATCGGCACGAAAGCAACAGCAATCAAGTCGCGATGGAGTTTGCGTTGACGTCGGTGAAAAAATGGAGCCAAATGGAAACAAAGCCGCGACCTTGAAGGCAAAGGTAACTATCACGCGCGCCGCAACGCCGGGAAAAGCTTTGAGGAACGTCATCGCCGCCGAAAAACGAGAGGCGACGGGCCAATCAACAAACATGACCTCGGGACAATCCAAAGGCGTTTCCTTTTTAGACGCCCACGCGTGGCAGTGCTCCGAAGGCGCATGTTCAAATGCCTTTGCGGTAGCTCCCCGCATTGGGATTTCAGCGATCCGGGAGACTCGGTGGGCAAAGTTTGGTTGGCGGGAAGTGGAGCCTCCTGCCCGGCGGCTCCACTTCCGGCACCCTCCTGCCCACAGATTGACGGACGGGCCTTTGTCCGCACGCGTCCGCGGCGTCTCCGCCCGGTCTCGAAACGTTCCGGTCTGAGCTTAGCTCTTTCGCGATCACTGGCTCTCAACGACGGTCTGAGCCTCTGGAACTCCGCCGGCGGCACAGCTCGGTCTCCAAGCCGACGACGTGGCCGATCTCGCCGGGTGAAGCTTTTCTTTCACCGAGCCGGCAGGGAGACTTGCTGGCCAACGTTTTGCGTCAACCGGCGTCATTTCTCTGGCGTTCCGATGCGCGCCTCCGCCTTTCTGTTTGTGGATTGGCTCGTCGCTGCTCCCTACCCTCATGCCCGCGACGTTTGCGGAGACTCCCGCTTGACCTCCGGCGGAGCCTCTCTCTCTCCGGCATCTCTTTCCTTTCCCGCTTTTCAGCATCGGCGAGCACGCACGCCACGCGGGTGACTCCGCAGAGTTGTGGAAACGGATGAGCGTCGTGACCAAATCCCTTTCTCCTTCTGACAGCCCAGAGTTCCCGCCGCACCCGATGAGGATTTTTTCTCTTCTTCTCGATGGCTCAAGGATCACGCTTTCTCCCGGAGCACCCCGATTGGTCTGGATTGTCTAGGCCGGAGAAGGCGCTTCTCAAACTTTTGTAAGTATCTGATCATTGACTCACTCTATTGAATTGCGTGCTGTGGCACGACGTCGTCGCCCAAATGAAGGCACGCCGCTCTCAATTGGGGCTCGCAGAAGTATTCGAAACAAACAATGCATCTACTGTACATCCACACAGTACGTAGATATCGCCGCGTGTATCTCTGGACAGTGCGGTCTGTGAATCTCCCCGAGGAAAGCTGCACCGGTCGCTGCCCCCTTGGCGTTGGTGTTTTTATGCGCGCACGTGCAATTGCCAGCCATTGACATCATCGAACCTCAGAAAACCCCTGCGAATACCCCGGTGATGTCATGCTATACCAGTTAGAGAAGGAGAGAGGGCAGTGAGAGTAGCAGTTGAGAGAGAGAGAGAGAGAGAGAGAGAGAGAGAGAGAGAGAGCAGTGTGCAAATAGGGTGGAGAGACACACACACACACACACACACACACAGGAGCAGAGAGCGGAATGAAAGCAAGGATGGATTGCTCCAACCCTCGTTCGACGCACGGGAGTAGAAATAATCAAGGCGACAGCTGAAGCTTACCTCAGCCGGCCGGCCGTGGCAGCCCAAGTCTCTCGTCTCCACGGCGGCAGACTAAAAGGACTCGTTCGGCCGCCCCGCTTGATTTTGCATCGCTCGCTACAATTCCCTCCCTTGGCGTTTGCGTCCGCATCAAAATGCGCACCCATCAAAGCTCAGAAGGGAGCGCGCCCCCGCCCAAGGACGCTTGCGGTCGCGGCAGCTCGGGGGAGTCGCCCGGCTCCGACCGTCGCGGAGCATCACTGACGAGCGCGAGTACGGACGGCGTGGCGGACGCCGGGCTCGGGGTGGCCGGACGTATCGGGGGATTCGATGGTAGCCTGAGCGGCACTTTGAGGGGTGTCCTGTCTCGCTATTGGAGCTTGGAGAGTCTCCACTCCACCACAGGTAAAGAAATGCTTTCTCTTTCCATCGCCATTCCGAACTTGAAACTTCACTTCCTTCTCGTCTCTTACCCGACGTGCGCATCATCATGTCAAAGAGGCTGGCGTGAGGCAGGCAACAGGTTGGCAAGTGCTCGTGAACTTTGAGTCTGATTTCGGAATAGATGGGGAGGTGGGGGCGGGTTTTGGGCCACACCTTCACACTTTGCAACTTTGGATCTCAAGGTGAACCTGATCTAAAATGGCCCGGACTCGATGAGGTCCTCGGTACACTCTCGCAGGCTGCGGTTGATCGATATCCCGCCATATCATGTCCGTACAGTGAACTCTAGGCTTATCCTTCTAGATCAACCTGCTTTCATCCACTCATATGATGCCATCGACGAGCTAACGGAAATGAGCGTAAATGTGGCGCGGCGACCCGCATGGTGTCGACGAAGAGAGCAAGATCAATCCTTTCCGAACTTTTTCAACCATGAACATGAGTTATAATAGAAAGCTATGAAGACAAGATCGGAAGGGATGATTTGCTTGAGAAAAAGAAAACAGATATGAAGCGCACTGACGGTTGAAAAAGTCTTTCCGAGAAGCGGTTGCGTCGACAACGAGTAGCCTCCAGATTGACATCGCAACAAGACTTGGCATTTGTGAAAACAATTTCGGTGTGGAAAATGAAGGGAGCGAAGGGAAGGGAAGGGAAGCGTGCCTCAGGGCGTCAATCAAAAGAAAAAAAATAAGAGGCTCTCTCAGATATAGGTCATGGTAGAAAAGCCACTCATCCTGCGTGACTTCATGCTCTACCGTTATTGAAGAGGACTCAACTTCGATGTTTTGGTTTTTTTTTTTCTCCAGCATCCCACATTAAAATGGCAACGCCAAAGGAGGAAAACATATTGATGTAAGACGTTCCCCAAAGCGCATACTGTACTTCCAAGTGTGTTTCCGGGAATCGGATTGTAAAATTGGTTTGAGTTTTTAGCCCGACATTTGACCAACTCTCCGGCCAGGGTACAATGCAGACATTATAACGTGGCGCGGCATGAAAATGAAAATGAGACGTGAAAAGAGCTGTCGCGGCAAACAAGACTCAAATATAGAAATGGATTTCCTACCCACGTGCCCTCCCGTATGCGTGATTGCTTGGAGAGCACCCAACGGCTTCCCTGAATCGATGCAGTTGTTGCGCGCGTACTGCAAAAATGTCTCCATTTCCTCCACATCATTTTGGTCAGTGAGGCGACAACGCTTCCCGCCGGCGTTTGGCCGTTTCTTCTTCTTCCGCGTGGCTTGTTGCCTCTGCTTTGCTAAAGTAGAGGCCAGAGTGCCCTTAAAGGCGACCAAGCAAGAAGGCAAGGACGAAAATCACGTAAATCGCGTGTCATAAAAAGACAAGGAAATCCAATGATGAGAACCACAGAAAAGATCGCTACGAATTCTGAAGTCTGAAAAAAAACCACGACTTACACAATGAGACAAACCATGGCGAGGACCAGGCATCTGACAGCCAGTTGTCGGCACGGCTCAGCCTTTAAAGGCGGCGGGAGAACGATGGCGATCAGAGGAAGTCTGCGGCTCTGGAGGGAACGCCCTCCAATCCCGCCAGTGAGATCGATCAGTGTGGCCGGGTCTGTGAGAAGACTTGACCCAACACAAAATAATGTTGATGTGGGCTTTATACCTGACTGAACAACAAAAAATGCACAGCGTTAAGAAGACAAAAGACTGAATGTTCATTGGATTTGAAGGGATCAAAGAAAAGTAGACAACGATAGACAACAGCGGTGGCTTGCTTGATCGGGAAACAGTAATGAAAAGACATTATTTCCGAGCCACAACACTCCATGAAACTGCAGAGCGACTAGACATTCCGGTCCAATGGGTCGAGAGGCGGACGGACACACTTACTCGACACTTTCCGGCGTGTTGGGTGCGCGCGAGACACGCGGAAAGACAAAAAAAATCATCTCCCCTCTAAAGAACACATCAAACAGTTGACGTCATTTCACAATCAGAAAAACATATTGACATCTTGTCACGTGGAGAACACTTGCGCCGCACGGCCGTTCACGCGACCCACCGGCGGCGGCATTCACATTCCCAAACAACGATATCGTACTCGACAAATATCATTCACATCATCAATCATCCGTCCAAATTTAACACCTAACCTGCTTCATGGTCACTAAAATAGTTAGCAATGACCTGAATATCGCCCGGGTTAAAATGCTAATGGCGGCGATATCAAGTTGGAAAAAGCGGCCCGCGCAGCTCAGAGACCATCCTCCTTCGCAGGAACGTCATCCTCCCTTCACTTCCCGGTCTAAGTCTCACTTGCGCTACGCGTTCCCACGGGATTTGATCCGGGCGCTACTCTTATAGTGACAGTGCGCTACGTTTGTTCCACAAGGCAGAGTTCACCACAAAAGTCCAAGTTTGGTTCGCCTGGTTCCGCACATGCACATATCTTCTATATCCTTTTTCTTCGTCCCACAACGTCCGCACGTTTGCCACAACTGCGAAGGCATTTGTTGGTGAGGGCCATGATGAGGCGCGACGGCAAGAGTATTTTTAGCTCCTTTGATAGGTGTCCACAAAGCGCGGGCGTTTTCAGAGGATGCCGGCCCCAATAAAACCCAATAATAGCTGCGTAAAATTAGATCAGCTTGCTTATTGGAAGCCCCCCCCACTTGGATCGTGATTGCAGCTTCCGTGTGCTTGGGAGGCTTCACTCTGGATACGAAAGCCCCTCCCAGCTCTGACACCATTCGAGAATCGGAGGACATCGGAGGCTAACATTGTTCCAAATGTGACCATTTATCTTAAGTGGAACAAATCGTGAAGCAAAATGTCATTGGAGTCGTCAGGCTCCGGCAGAAACGCTCAACTTCGGACACTTTCTTCATGCGCAACCCTAGCTTGATGAGTGGACGTCATGGGTCTTTTTCCCCCCATCGCATGGCGAATAGCATTGAGGGGGTGGGGGGGAATTGGGCTTCCCCATTGCCAGTGCAATTGGCTTGACGATGGCGTTCCTGCCCTTAAGGCGTCCTCGCTGAGCTCACTTTTTTTTCCCGCTCTTCCGCTCGATGGCCAAAAGGCTTTCGGCGCGAGTCCAGACCGGATGCGACGACGCTCGGGTCGTCACGCGCGCTACCGGCAATTTGGAGTCTCGGGCAAAGCCGTCTTTCTTTCCTCTGGTCCCATCCTCCCCGTTTGACTCCGCAGCGCCTCTGCCCGATGGGGGCTCCCACAAGTCCAGGTCCGGAGAAGAGCTGGGCAGCGAGGAAGACTTGCTGTACGAAGACTTCTGCGCTTCCGCTCACTGTTTCGGACATCCGGGAGGAGGCGGCGGGGAGCAGCTGGCTGTCAATGAGGTACTTTGCAAGAATCGTCTGCCGATTCTCCATCGTATTCGCCGCAAGCGAAGAAACTCAAGTCCGTCATCTTCGCCAACAAGTTTGTGGCGCGTCCGCCCTGTCGTCGTAGGCCAATCGCCCCTTTCAGACGCCCTGCGATCAGTTTTCAGTGACCCTCGGACCGTGGCGTTTGTCTTTCTTCACTGAAGACTGAAGCAGGGCCAAGGGGTCAACGTTGACACTTTTGTTTTGCCATTTACATGCCGCGTACATCTTGCGCGTGGAGCCGCACGTCCACAAGCGTTACGCGTCCACCCTGTCATAGTGAACTATTGATTGATCGAAATCCCTCGCAAATGTTTGCCAAAGAGTTCCCCGGTAAACTTGCCAACCGAGTCACGTTGCTCGTGGGAAGGTCTACCTCGCACGTGCTCGGAAAATGCTCACGTTAGCTGCGTGTTAGCGGGCTGGCCTATTCGCGGGAAGCGGTTGCCTGCTCGCAGTTACCGTCAGTCAGACGTGGGAGCTTGCGCAACATTCGCTCCCAACGTCGACTTCGTGCGATGAATTTCAAGTTCAACGTAAAATCTCAGATGTGGTTCGGTGAAACGGGTGACGACTGAAAGACACCTTGGGCCTTACTTTCCTGCCATCTAACTGCGCGCGCAGGTGCCATTTTCTGGCTTCTGGTAAACTATGGAAAAGTATAGAAATCGCCTTGACGCCGTTGTGGGGGTGAGCGCGGCGGGCTCCTTTCCCGGCCAGTCGAGGCGGCTCCCCTCATTCCCCATAAATTTGGCGCAGGTGAGGAGCGCTGGGAGAACCGCGTGCGCCTCGGAGACCAACGTGTGTCGTCAAAGCCGCTTGCGAATTTGTGACACCTACGACTCTTGCGAGAGCAAAAGACCTCGCCAAACTGAGGGAGGGAGAGACACCAATGATCCCTCTGTCGGTGTCCGATGTGGAAATTCAAGAAAGTTCCAGAAGAAGGAAACCCGTTGAGTATGGAGCTGTTTTTGATTTCCCTCATTCGATGCGCTTTTCATCTCATTTTTGCCGCAGTCTCTATTTTCTGCGCTACGCCACGGAAACACCCAATTCTCATCCAGGTCTGCCGGTTTGCAGACAACGGGCAACTGTCAGAATGGCGGGCAGCTCAATGCTGTTGCATCCCCGACGGGAGATTTTTTTTGGAGGGGGGGGGGCGTGGTTCTAGTCGACGACACGCTAAATGTATTGAAAGTGGACTTGTAGGTGATGGGGTGTTTTTGGATGACTATTTTTTTTTTCAACCCGCCCGTTTTTTGGGGCACGGCCTGGTTTCACGTCAAGACGGCGGGACACAAAAAGCGGTCGGCGAAGATTTCACGTTGAGCGGCTCCGTCGTCTCTCTCCTCCGTCAGCTCGGTCGGAGCCATCGATGCGGCTCTCTGCCCGACAACGCAGCCCTCCTCCCACCTCTCTTCTTCAGGGCTCGCTCAGGCGCAGCCTGGGCCGCCGCGCTCTCGTACTCTCTCTGTGCTGATTGGCTGCTGCCTCCGCAAGGGTGTGCGCAGAAAAAGAAAGGACGGCAAGGCAAAAGAGGAAGAAGGGCGATCCTGGAGGGCTCGGACGGAGCTTCTCCCGCCAGAGCACAGAGCCTAGCCTCCTTTTGACCGGGAAAAGCCTGGCGGGCGGGCGGGCGGGCACGGCCGGCGATCCTTTTTGGATTGGGGGCGGGGGTGTCCCCGCGATGGGAAGAGGACTACCGCCCCAAAACGAGAAGAGAGACACATGATGGACGGTCGCGGGAGATATGAGCAGCGACGGTCAAAACGCAGCATCCCCTTCTGCCGTCTGTCCTGATATTTTGAGCGTCCGGGGGGACGCCAGGAGAAGCGGTGCGGGAGGAGAGAAAAAAGGAGGGGCCGCCTCGCCGCCAAAGCCGCAAATAGTTCCGCAACGCGCACACCGTCGCCGAGCGGCGTCAAAGTGGCAGGAGGAGAAGAAGAGGCGGCGGCGGCCACAACCGGGAGGGGGAGGAGAGCGGCGTCGGGGGCCGACGGCAAAGGCGGACGAGAAGAGGGCCCGGAGCAGGCGCTGTGGTGCGGGGGCTCGGTGCTGGGGGGCAGCGGACGGAGGAGGCGCGGAGCCCCCAAGCCGCGGGAGCCGGAAGAGGCGGACGCCGCGCCACTGATGGCTCGCGGCGGCGGCGCTCCGGGGAGGTGGAGCAGGCAGCGGATGGGATTTGTCAACACCGTGCTGCGCTGCAACCTCCCTCCCGAGACGCAAAAAGTGGTCGTTTTCTTCATCATGATGCTGCTCATCATCATCAACGTGGTGCTCATGTTCCTGTTGGCTTTCCAGTAGGAGGAGGAGGAGGAGGAGGACGCCGCCCAAGTTCCCGAGCGCGGCGCCATAAAGGAGGGCCGGCTGCCTTTTTGAGGCAGCTCACCTTCCGGCTCTGATGGCTGTCCAAAATGGGGGCCACACGGCGCAAGAGAAACGCTTGGCCGACCCAGTCTCCTCTTCGCCCAGACATTTTTTTTCACTGGCAAATGCTCAATGTCCCTCCCAGGTTTTTGTTTTTTTCTTACCTGTTCAGAGCTGTTAAAAACAGAGTGCGGCCTCGTCATAATCAGGCCGCCCCCCCCCCCCCCCCCCAAAAAAAAAAAAAAAAAAACACCAAGCAGCGGCGAGGAAGAAATGTATTCACGTCAGAGTTCAGTGCACTGTTGTAACTATCTCAAGTTCATCTTTTCACATGTCCGCCGTTCTTTGCTGAAAAGCGCACGCGAGCACCCATTTGCTGTTTTTGTGCCCAGGCCGAAGCAAAGTATTCCGTTAGCGCCATCTCGGTGCAAAGAAATCATGTTGTGCTTTGCTGGCATCTTGTGGCATCCGTGGAACTACAGTGGGGCCCCGAGACCTGCCTTCTGAGGAGGTATTCCCCGTTGAAACGAATCCAAACTGCCGTACGACGACGACGACTAATTCATTTGGATGTGTTTTTTCTTCGGAAATTGCTGTCACGCTTCCAAAAAAAAAAAAAGAAAAAAGTCCTAATATTGTCCTTCTGGCGAAGGTAAACTGGCGGTGAGCAGATGAAGTCAAGTTGGCTGGCGCCATCTGGAGGCGGGGGGGCTCAAGTGCACTCGGATCTGCACTTGATGCTTGCGTCTCGGCTGTGCTGAGAGGCACTCGTATCTCAAGGCGTCACTTAATTTTGAAGTGATGCGAGTACCTTTTTTGCGGTGTGGGGGGGGGTGCTTTGCCTCCATCTGGTGGTCTGGATGATGAACCTTGCTACGTTTGTTTTTGCTAACATCAAACATGTTTGATTCATCTTCTGCCTCTTTCTATCTTTCTGCCTTTGCTCATGTGACAAAATGTCACGGCAGCTCACAAGAGAGTGCGCCCGTGTCCCCAAAAAATTCCAGGCCTGGCGTTGAAATACATTTTCAAAGCCAAACGACACATTACGATGGCGGCACTTGCTTCGCTCAGTGCGCCAGAAGGGGCAGCGGGACAACAATGCCTCGAGCATCTGACGGTTCCCGGCCAGCCGGAGCAACCCTCTTAATGGCCACGGATATCCCCCCCCTCCCCTCCCCCTTTCTTAAGACCACATGGGGGTCATTTTGAAGGAAGTGGATGATGCCTCCAGAGGGGAGTTACAACAACAAAAAACATTGATGCCAAAAATGATGGCATTTTTCCGACACACCTCAAAAGAAATTCCACCGAAACCAGCCTTCCCAAGCAAAATCCCAATTCCCATTTTCAAAGACAGCGCAAGTGGGCCCTCTTTTAGAACGTGGAACAATCGCCGCAAAGCATTTGAAAGGTTTCTCGGAGCTCTGCTCACGTCCACTAATTTGTCTCCGAGCGCTGACTAAGTGGTGACTTTTTCTCCCAAGATGAGCGAGACGCCGTCGTACTTGTGTGACTCCCGGAAAAGAGGAAACCGAAAATGAGTTCAGACTTGATTTCATGTCTCGAAACAATAAAAACAAAAAGAGAGTTTGAAGCTATTTGTCTTCTGTGGTCATTTGTGAGCAAATCAGAAATAGGGCCAACGGGGGGGTTGAATGTCATTCTCTTTTCCTTATGGTGCAAATGGATTCAAAAAAGAAATCATCCAGTGAGCCAGTAGCGGCACATTGAAACGAGCCATCCCATCAAGCGATTGAGTCAAGGTGAACCGATTTCCCTCGGGACGCTTCCCCGCAGCTCATCGGCGACGGCAACGTGGTGTACGCCGAGGCGCTCTGGGATCACGTCACCATGGACGAGCGAGAGCTCGGCTTCAAGGCCGGCGACGTCATCCAAGTGGTGGACGCCACCAACAAGGAGTGGTGGTGGGGCCGCATCGGAGACAATGAGGGATGGTTTCCGGCCTGCTTTGTTCGGGTGAGTGAGTGAGTCCTGTGTGTGGGGGGGGGGGGGGGGGGGGGGTGCTTTCTACTGTGAGCGCAAAACTCGAATCCAGCATGTCCTCGTCTCCGTCTCGGCTCAGATGCGATCTATTCTTCCCGACTCCCCTGCTAGTTGCGCGTGAACCAGGACGAGCCCGCAGAGGACTTGAACGCCCACCTGGAGACGGACGAACGGGCCGGGGCCAAAGAATGGCCGGGACTCGGATCGTACTCGGGACCCGGGCTGCCCGGCAAGGAGCAGATGAGGGCCAACGTCATCAAAGAGATCATGAGCACGGAGCGAGATTACATCAACCACCTGAAGGACATCTGCGAGGTCAGCTTCATCGTCGGAGGGGCGGGAGGGGCGGGAGTAGCCCGCCGGCAGGAAAAGCGCAGCGCTTCGGCGCTCTTCCAAGCGGCTCCTTTCACGCTCGGCGATGGCCATTTTTTTTGTTCGTCGCGCAGGGTTACATCAAGCAGTGCCGCAGGAGGACGGACATGTTTACGGAGGAGCAGCTTTGCAGCATCTTCGGCAACGTGGAAGAGATCTACAAGTTCCAGAGAAAGTTCCTGCGGATCCTGGAGAAGAAGTACGACAAGGAGCAACCCCACCTGAGCGAGATCGGCCGCTGCTTCCTGGAAGGCGTAAGCGCGTCCGGCG